GGATGGACATCCTGAACACGAATTGTATCTGCTCCAATAACTTCGTCCTTAAAGAAGGTAATATCCAAGGCCGGCGCTTCAGGTGCCGCTCCACCTTTTGGACTCTTCTTCGAGCTACCCTTGGATTTCCCGGGTGAGCCCTTTCCTTTGGAACCCTTGTCCTTGGGGGATTTTGATTTGTCCTTGGGAGAGCCCTTCTTAGGCGAACCACTCCCCTTGCTTCCCTTTCCCTTCCCCTTGGACTTGGGACTGCCCTTCGAGTTTCCCCCTCTAGCTGCTGCTTCCTGTGCCAGTGCAGCTTCCATTTGAGCGTCGGCTTCGCGAGCAGCTTGGTTTTCCGCCTCTCGTTTTCTGACCTGTTCATCCTTCCAATCATCGCAGTCTTGGAAGAGCTTTTCAAAGATAGGGCTTTCCGCAGCCAGCATGCACTTATGGGCCTTGATGGTGGTTTCGTTGCCAGTTGGACCGACTATGAAGTCAACATCTGTCTTAAGCGTAGTTTCCAACAGGAACCGCAGCCGTCTATGCATAATGCCCTCCGGTACGGGGACGACCAACTCCTCCTCTTCTTGTGGCTCGACGACATTTCCTTTGGAACCCTTGGAGCCCTTTGAGCCTTTGGAGCCCTTCTTGTCTTTTGAGCCCTTACTTTTCTTAGACGGCATGGCGCCTTCTCTGAATCAATTAAACACCAGTCCTGGTGTTTTGCGTTGTAGCAGCACGAAGGGGCGCGCTCGTTTTGAACGCCTCTGAAAATCGATTTTGTCAGTGCACAATCCTAGCAGTTGATGGAGTATTCAAGACAATACGGACGTTGCAAACGTGCGCGATCATGGAATTTTTAAGGGTGGAGGAGAAAAAAAGGATGCGTTTTTTTAATTCCATTTTATTTGTTAAAACAGATCAGCCAGGAAGTGCTGGTGCTTGTTCGAGGCCATGGTAAGTATGTAGGTAAGATTTTCAGCGTTAATTTTCCTACAGTCCATGCATTTATCTCATAAAATGCGAGTGCTCGTTTATTATGATTCAAGTTGACGCACTGACGCCGAACTTAATCTTTTCAAAAACATTTCTATTTCGGCGACTCCCGAAGAGAACCAAAAACCTTTGGTAAGGTAAATTTTGGCTACGTACTTTTTCTAAATCTATAAGCCTTGTGTTCTCAGATTTAGAGCTTATCTACACGAAAGTTGTGGGGACTCAATTGCCGGCTTCCGTTTGAGTAAAGAAAAGTTCTTCGAGCAAAAGATTTATCCACTTTTCGAAATTCCTCCCAAGCATGGTGTGTTTTAAGTGATTTATGAAAGAATTAGGTCAGCCTGGCCTGTTTTCACTTTGTCCCTCGTGAAAATTGTATCTGAATTGCGTTTTCTGGTGTTTGAAAGTCACAACGCAACGAGCATCCCGTGGGATATTTATTTTGCTTCGAATATGTTTTATGGGCACAGCGGTTCGCCAGTTCGTCTCCGACCGATTTTCTGCACTCCGGTAAATGCGTAATTGTGCAGAGTTGTTTAACAGTCGCACAAAGGTGGTTTCTTCATACATTTTACTGTTCGTCCGCGTGTCTCTGTTTCCGGCGGCCATCTTCCTAACAACAAAGGTCCGTTTTCCTGCTCGAACTTCCTCCTTCCTTTAACGCACGCAATTAGGGTCATTGAAAGAACAATAACTGTATGCGGTGAGCATAAGTCAAGTGAGTTGCGTATGGTAGGAACAGGCTTTCCGGTCATGACAGAGCCTACTCCGTCCTATTTTATCCCAGTTTATTGCGCCTTTCAAAAAAAGCGATTTTTCAACTAATTGCTCTTCTTTTTTCTAACTTTTAGAACTTAACTGTGTCCTCATCACGGGTTGCGTTGGAGAGGCGTTGGACTAAAGAGAGGCGGAAGGGAACGCGTTAACCAGCACCAACGCAGCGTCCCAAAACAAACAATGGTACGCGGTGACAGGCATATGCACGGGTTTCACGCCGCGCCAGTCATTTCACCCACTTTTAGTCCCAGCTGATTGACAGGCTCGGACAGACGTATGCTGCTGCATGTGCTGCGAAGAAGGAGCGTGAGGTCCACTCTGGGAAATTCGTCCCCATGGAAGCAGCTTAGCTTCCTCATAAT